AACTAGCAGAAAAGCCCGTTGTGAAACCGATACAACGGGATCTAGAAAGATGTGGTCTGTAAGGAACGCATAGGCTGGATGGTGGTAAGGTAAACAGTAGTGGGTGAGAGTGGGAGGGGGTGGGGGAATGGCGGCGGCGGCCGGAGGCCTCTGCATCCCGTTGCCGGCCCTGGATTGAGTGGGGGGGGAAGGGACCCGGCCTCCAGTTGCCGGCCCAGGAGTCGGTGGTGGGGGAGGGGAAGGGAGCGGGCGACCGGAGGCTTCTGCGGTGGAGCCTGGAGAGGGTGGGGTTTGCAGAGGGGTGGGACCTCAGACAGGTAGAATGCCATAGACTCCACCCTCCAAACCAGCCATTTTGTCCTGGGTAACAATTGCTGCCAATCTCCAGGTGAGGGCTACAGATTACTCACAATTACAACTGCTCTTCAGGTAGCAGAGATCAGTTCCTCTGGAGAAAACAGTGGACTCTGTCATTATACCCTGCTGAGGTCACCACAGCAAATTGACACTGTTTGCCCAAAGCCAGAGCACTGCCCCAGAGCCTCTTTCTAGATCTCGTTGTATTGCTTTCACAACGGGCTTTACTGCTAGTATATATATATATAGTACCATTTGCCAGTACTGATGGGCTTACCTCTTCTCATTCATCTCTACCCACTCAAATATCACTTTATGCACCTGACATAGTAGGTCCAATCTAGAAAAATTAATGCCTCAATAATGTTTCTCAGTCTGTAAGACACTTTGGGACTCTGTTGATCTATTGACACTCCAGGTAGATACACCATCAGAAACGCTGGGATAGCAAACAATATTAAGTCAGATGCTTAGCAATCTTTATCAGGGAAACATTATTAAAACATGTCATTAAACTCATTTAAGCAACACAGGATATGTCATCTCCCTCTTCCAACAGTAGACACCTCATTTATCAAAACCTGACTTACTCTTGTTCATAAAATTTATATGTATTCATGTCAGTATAACATTTTAAAAACAGAATTCTCATTTATTCTATACCCCATTACCTGGGTGCTTTGTATAGACTACAAGCCATTCAGAAATATTACAAATCTGCTAGTGTGTAAATTGGGTATAACCTGGATTTTTAAAATTTATTTGACTTTTATCCCAATCCTTTCCCCGCCAAACAGAAAATCTGGTTCTTAGCTATGGTATTACAAACTGAGAACCAATCTGAAGCAGATGATAGAATCCTTTCTAAACTATGTAACTAAAATGTGAATAACACACCATAATCTATCATATTCTGGTGCATCACTCTCTGTCCTCTCATATTCAGCCAATCTGGTCAGGATGCTGCTTGCTTTTATAACTTCATGGACTTCTATGATCTGCTTTACATAACACTGACCTTAAAGAAAACTGCGGAACTGCAGTCAGCACGAAATGATGTTTAATTGACATTTTGGTTTTACTGAATTGCATAGGAATGTGAATGTATTTTGGTTTTTTGGAGGGAGGCAGAGGTGGGGTATAACCATTTAAAGCAACTTATGTGCTGAATGTAAAGCTTAATGAGATCACACTATTCATTTGAAAAGAAAAAGTAACACTGAATTGCAAAAAATAATTATTGCAATTGTAATAATGTGTTCGAAAGTCCAAATAAATATGCAGTCATTCCTATGTATGTTTTATCCAGACACATATCCCACTATCTTCAATAACTGTCCATCAGAATACAATATAAACAGTACAGACACATCACAATTGGTCTTCTTATGTAAGTAGCATAAGTAACTCTACTTATTACTTACCTTTGAAATGTTACTTGACCGACTTGTTGAGCGACCTGGAGATTTATCATTCTGCAAAAAGAATTGCAAGGACTGTTCAGTTTTTGGGAGTGGAGCATAATGAAATGTACATACATTGGTTTTCGGCCTTCCCCCCCAGCTGCCTAAAGCTTACAAAGTTATGGTAGTAAAGAATTATTGTCTGGCTTGAAAAGCACACTGAAGGGCTTGAGCACATGCAGTTTCCTTCCCTCTGAACAGCAGATAATCATGCCAAATCATAAACTGCTTTGGAATTTATTACAGTTTCAAAAGCGGCTTGCTGTAAGTCATGGGCAATGCGATTCAAGAAATGCAAGTTGGAATCCCCTTTGGGTACAACAGAACTAGATATGCAGATCTTTGGACTGTTCTATGGATTTCTTGTTCTTTAGATTTCTTGTTCTTCAGACTGGATTGCCATTGTTCAAAATTATCTTATAAAAAGGTGCATACACAAATAAAAAATAGGAAAGATTCAGTGCATCCTGAAGAAACCCTGATCTTTCAGTGCTCAGAGGAAGATCACATGTTTTTCTAAATTCCAGACACAGATGAAATTAATTTCTGATTGACATTACTGGAAACTGAGAAATACACAAGTCTGAACTCTGTGAATTCTATTTAATTATCTTTTTAAATTATCTTAACAAAAGAGGTCCCTAAGTAATAAAAGGCTGAATACACTTACTGAATATTCTTTTTCATTATCCTGCTCCATTTTTACTCTGCTCCATCTCTACCCATGCTTGTGTCCCACAATAACTCAGTGCAACAATGTGAGAATTCTGCACATCTAGTGACGCTATGTTAGACAGAGTGACAGAAAACATAAAATTCTGCCTCACATTGAGTAGGCCACTAGTACACCTAGCCCATTACTCACTCTGCAAACAGTGCATTTCCAAGGCCTCAGACAAGGATCTTCTCAGGAAATGCCATGGGTTGAACCTAGGAATTGGGACAATGTACATGCTAGTACTGCGCTATGGAACCCATCCATCATGCTGCAATGGTAGGAATTCCCAATTCATCATTTTGATTTATGCTGCTAGGTTTTATACCATATCTTTATCATATATTTGCTGGTAACAAATGACAATGTAATACCCAGAGCAGCAAAGAAGAAAGTTATCATTTGGCTGAGAATGAATAGAGCACACTCCTCAAACAGCATCTCTGAAATCCACCTGCAGAACTGAGCATTAATCTACCAAAATTAAATAATCAGATTCTGATTTTCTTGATTTTTAATTACTCATTAAATGAGGTTTAGAAAAAAATTATATTCTTGGCTAAAATAAAACAACACAGTCCATTGCGGTGAAAAAGGGCATACGACAATGCTTCATCATCAGCTACAAAGATTATCTCCATCTTAAAGAAATGCAGCTGCTATTTCTTCATTAAACTGACATAAAAGGTTACACACATCATTCTAAACAGATTACAATATATACAATTAAAATGAGTCTTAGAGCATCAGTCAATCTCTTTGCATAATACAATCAAGCTAGAGAGCTCTACATGCAAAACTTGCCTCACACGAACATAACCGGACCTAAAACAGGTGTGTGTGTCTGCATAGGGAAGGTCACTGATGTATGTGCACATACACATGTCCACATAAATACAACCAGCAGTAAAAAGGTGTTACTGATCCAGAGTGAAAATAAATACATACAAGGAGAGGGACCCGCAATACTCACGGGGGGAGAATCTCCCCCCGGCTCCCGGAAGCAGGAAGACCTCAGGGCTGAGGAGGAAGTGGCCACAGGTAAGCTAAATAGTATTACAACCCCTCTAGACTTGGTATTGGTTCGCAAACTGTTTTGAATTAAGGACATAAGGCATCTGTGACAAACCCCTTTATTTTTCAAACCACTTATTGTCTCTGGGGCTTTTTATGAACACTGCCTTTTTATAAGATGAAGTTTACTGTTTAACTTTGTCAGATACTGTCCGTCACTGAGGCACATGCAACTTGGAACAGTAAAACCAACTGAAGAATTTATTTACAAAGACAGTCAGGAAATATATTTACAAGGGAAAACTTTGATGCTTGTGGATACGTAGTTGCAGATGGTATATTTCAGCTTTAGGTTAGTTCCTTTATTATCAGTCACTTCAGAAGACACAGTACAAATCACTCTCTCTCTCCAAACTCAACCCTTATGCTGTTTTAGACAGCCAATTTTTGTGTGGGTTTCTTAGGTACTCTCCAGCTTCACAGAGAAATACCTCTGCTGTTGTTGTTCAGTCGCACAGTCTGTACCTTAGTTTGATTTTTGGACATCAACTAATCCAATCAACATTTCTGGCACACACTAAACCCCTAAACCAGGCTCTTTGTCCAGCAGAGTATAATTTCTAAGGGAGAGGAATGTGTATTTCTTATTTAACCACTAGGAGCTTATTTTCCTGGTTAAGACTCCTTAATTTTCACTATGGTTTTCATGTTTGGCTTTTCTCGGTTTCCCTTAATATTGGAAACTATATAGATACCTCATTTGTTCCAACAAGACTTATCGGTCCCCTGGCTCAGTACCAACTGTCTACAAACGAACTGTCAGTCTCAACTGCCAAACTCCAACTGTCAAGAGGGTTGTTGTTTTTTATTAATGTAGAACTCCCCCTTGAGTTCTGCATCAGGCTTACATCACCACTGCTAGTCATGTGACTTGCAAGTGTCTTTGTTTGCAGGCTGATCTCAAGCCTGGAATCCCGTCACATGCACCTTCAAGACACCCCCTCCCACACAAGTTCCAGATGCACAGTTATCCTTACAAATACACAGCCCTTTGAAGTGGAGGAGTTGGAAGAGACAAGTGTTCTATTCTAAGTAGTCCCCCCTGCCCGGCCCAGTATTTTATTCCTAACAGAACACCCTGGGCATTATACACACAGGTTCTAGGCCTGCTTTAGAATCAGCTCTTCTAATATTCTCAAGCTCAATGCAAGGGGCTAGGCATGGTAAAGAAAATATCTTTCCTTGAAAGGGTTTTTGCTATTGTTGTTGTTTGCTATCTGCTTACTAATTGTGCATGCCTTCCCATTTTGTTCCTTCAAGGTGATTTTTAAATACTGCAACTCCCAAACAGAAAGAAAATTTAAAAAAATCTAATAGCAATATGACAGCACCTACAGTTAAGCATGTATAAAAGGCTTCCAAATATCTAAAAGTACGTCCATATGTGATTGTTGTCTATATGGCATACATTCAAATGTTGATAAGGTTGCAAGATCCTCAATCCACTGGATTACTGGAGGTGAGCATTTATCTCTCCGGTGTTGTAATGTAAGTCTTTTAGCACCAGTAAGGGCATGGAGAGTCCATTTTTATTGACCATCAGCCTCCAGGAGACAGACAAATAGTTTAAACTGAACTCACCACCTATAGTGGGAAAGGAGAGCAGGTTGTACGGCTGCTCTCAGAGAATGCCAATTTCAGCTAAAAAAGTTTCTTCTCTTGGTCAGACAAAGGCTCAAAGGTCCTGTTTGAGATTACAGATATCAAAGTGTTAGGCACAGAACCTGAACTTGAGTTGGAGAGATTAGAGGACAAGCTGTCTCCTTACCCACTAGACTATGATGGATGAAGTGATGCTATCCTTCGTCTCTGTCTCTTAAATTTTTATCTTGCTTTTCCTCCAAGGAGCTCATAGCTGTATACATCGTTTTTCCCTCTCTATTTTTAACCTAACAACAACTCTGTGCTAAGAGTGTGTGACTAGCACTGGGTCAGCCGGGGGGGGGGGGGGGCCGTATCCAGTGTGTTCATGCCCTGCTGGTCCCCTGGTCAAGATCAGTGAACAGAAATCTTTCTGGCTAATTTAGGTGATCACACTGAAAATTGGAGCAGTTTTTAGGAAAGCATTCATCTGAAAAGACTATGCATTTATTTTCAACTGCTACTGACACAACTTCAGTCCAGTTTTGTTTTTTTTACACAACAGCAATGGTTGCCTGTGAATTCAGAGTCTGTATTTATTGGAACTACAAATTGGATAGTAATTTGTAAGTATAAAGGAAAACCAAGAACAAAGCTTGCTCACAGTATTATTTGACATATATACACTAAATTTATATGTCATGTAGGAAAGAATTTAATTAATCACAAGATAAGTAGTTTGTCGGAGCATTTGATGGAACACCATTCTCTGATATACACAGCAGCAGCAGACATGCGTCTTCCACACTGTAATACTTGACAGCAGGATATAATGTTTCTATTGAGCCGATCCTATGAGCAAACCACGTCCGATTTTTCAGAACATCTCTGCTCCAAGCAGGGATGTCCAATTACCTGCTGGTTTGGCTAGCATCCTGCTTCCAGGTAGTGATCATTGGAGCTGAACATTCATCCGTAGTTGAACAGCTTGAACGTGTCTGATTGTGTACGTATGACTGCATGCTGCTTTTGCACAGCTGCTGCCCTCTCTCTCCTGTGTCTGGCACTGGTGCTGACTCCAACTCAAAAGGCACATTGTTGAAAGGGGGGGGGACCATTTGACATTTCGTGTTGAGACTTACCCATCTCTGGTGTCAATGTATGTCTCAGGATTGCTCAAGAAAGTTTTTTACACAAAGGTGCACAGACTATGCATTGTTTAAGAGACAACAGCATGCCAACAGTTTGCGACATATAGGGTGTACTTAGTCCGTTCTAACTCCAGAGAGAGAATTTGCTGACTGCTTCTTCGTTTTTGCTGCCTCTTGTATGCCTGCAAGATATGCATATCCTGAAGACATTTCTGCTACTGGAAGACTGACAGGTAATGCCTTTTTCAATCCCATTGTTACAGTAAGCTTTATAAGAATGCAACTCTACATGTGTGGGGCTGATTTATTTTCCATGAACCTACAAACCTAGGTTACAAACCTTGATGTCATGAATGACAGATCTTGTATTTATGATTGATAGGATGACTGCATGGCTGCAGACAGCAGGTAGCATATCCCATGTAGGTTATTTAAATGATGCATCCTACTGTGTAGGTGCAAAGATGAAAAAAGTACAATTGACTGGTGTT